GCTGAGGTCTCCGCAGCGGCTACCTGGTCGCTTGTGGATGGATGCTGAGGTCTCCGCAGCGGCTACCTGGTCGCTTGCGGATGGATGCTGAGTTTTCTACCAGTGATGCTTTGCTGCCACGGCTTCACCCACCCTTTGTTGGCAACCTTTGCGCGGATGTATTTTTCCTTTGGCAGGCATAGTCCGTTGGTGTTTTGAGGTGGAGGTCCCCCTCGTGTTTTCTTGCTGTTTGTTTGTGTCTTTGAGATCCCACCGGTATATCCTAGGATTATTTGTAAGTCCTTTGTATCCATGTAAGCCGTTCTTTCGGCACTCCCACTTCTTCTTAATGAAATACACGTCAATGCGTGTTCTTGAAAAAAAATGTTAGTGATAGATGTAAAACGCATGTGAGATGGGGGGAGTTCTCTGTGTACATGTTTGACATTTACATCAGCTTTTTTATTCTATTTCTATTTCTATTTTACTGTATGAGTGAGCAGTCAAGGATGATGGAAGAGGACCTTCTATTTGGGACAAATTTGCTCACACATTTCGTAGCTTCGAGTCTCTGTTTAACCACGGTTAATATATGTATAGGATATGATTTTTCAGGGCTCTTGATGAGGATTCAGTTTAAATGATGCAAAGCATCCAATTTACCGGAAATGAAACTTTAGCTGACAAGTTTCAAATGTGTTAGGCTCGTGCCACTACATAATTTCCAATCCATTGAAATGTACATGCCATATACTTTAGACGTTTCTAGACCCATGAATTTGGTTTGAATGAGTTTGGGACATGAAAAAAGTTTTAGTTAGTAGGCTAGTAATACTACTAGCATCAATATAACTATCTCTCATGAAGCCTATAGAGACTTGATGTGGATGACACAGTAGAAAGGAAACAATTTGCACTTCGCTCTTTTGTAGCTGGGAGATTTATAATCCTGTTATTCAACATTGTAAGGCAATTACTTCTTTGCCCTTGTGCAGGAAAGATCATTGACTCAGTCGATCAATACCACCGTTTTGAGGTGAAAACTATTATCTAGCACTCATACTTTACTGTAGAGAATTTATGTCCAATGCTCACAAAATCTAAAATTCTTCTTGATATATTATACTAATTCAGGAGGATATTCAACTCATGGCAAACATGGGAATTGATGCATACAGATTTTCAATTGCATGGCCTAGGATTTTCCCAAGTACGTGTATCAGCCTTTGCCAAACTATGTATTATATGCAGTTCTATGCAATGCTTACATAGTCCCTCCGTCTCTTTATGTCTGTCGCCAAAGCATTCTGCACAAAGATCAATGTTCATGAGACAAGACCTGAACAACCCTATAAGAGCAAGGCTAATAATACAGCCGCACTACTGGCTGTAAGGTTGTTTGTAGCCTTTTCTCAGTCCACCCTTATACTAATTCATGAGGATATTCAACTCATGGCAGACATAAGAATGGATGCATACATATTTTCAATTGCATGGCCTAGGATTGTCCCAAGTACGTGTTTCAGCCTTTGCCAAACTATATACTATATGCAGTTCTATGCAATGCTTACATACTCCCTCCGTCCCTTTATGTCTGTCGCCCAATCATTCTGCATAGAGATCAATGTTCATGAGACAAGACCTGAACAACCCTATAAAGAGCGACTAATAATACAGCTGCCCTGCTGGCTGTAAGGTTCTTTGTAGCATTTTCTCAACCCACCCATATAGTAGTTAGCTCTTCACTATTAATATATGGTCCACTTAGCTCTCTCACAAAGTTTCTTGGTTCTTGTGCCTAAGCCAGCTGTAAGCTTACAGCCCGCTTCTCATCTCTTTCCTCTTCTCTCTCCTCCACATCAGCATTTAGCTAGCTTACAGCCTACTATTGTACTTTCTCTAAAATAGTCCTTCACCAGCTGCAAAACATTGCCGTTAATGCGCGGTTGTGAGAGGGGGAAGGGATAAAGGCCGCTGCACCGGTGACATGCAAGTGTTGTGATAGTATGACACACCTATACGGGGACTCGATTAGAACAGCAACAACAAACATTCAGGGACAGCCTTTCAGAGCTAGAACGACCAACCAACATTAAGGGACAGAAGGAGTACACTTTTTTTAACTATGAATTATTGAAGATCAAATCAGCACACTGACAGTGATATCCTAATATTTTTCCTCAGATGGCACTGGCGAGGTTAATCAGGCAGGCATTGACCACTATAACAACCTGATCAATGCATTGCTTGTAAAAGGTGAACATAAAACATCACCACACTTAAAGATTTACAAATTGGAGTTACAAGACTGAATTTGTGGATTTATCAAAGTAACTACTTAATCCAAATTGGCTCCAAAAGTCTTGACAAGGTGAAACTATCTTGCAGGCATAGAGCCATATGTAACACTGTATCACTGGGACCTTCCCCAGGCCCTGGAAGACAAGTACACTGGGTGGCTTGATAGGCAGATAATGTGAGTCACTGTCACACACACTCCATAGCTAGATTTGAGTGAAGCCTCGCAGCTTCAGTGGTGTTGTGTCTATCATGATTAGCCACTATAATCAAAATGTTATGTATCGCCCGGATATAATGCAGCAATGATTATGCGGTGTTCGCTGAGGTGTGTTTCAAGGCGTTCGGAGACAGGGTCAAGCACTGGATAACCTTCAACGAGCCACACACTGTTACAGTTCAGGGCTACGATTCCGGAATGCAGGCACCAGGGCGCTGCTCGGTGCTCCTTCATGTCTACTGCAAGGAAGGCAACTCAAGTACTGAGCCCTATATAGTTGCTCACAATATCATATTGGCTCATGCCACAGTTGCAGACATTTATATGAAGTACAAGGTCTGAAGTATCTGTTTTTTCATTTGAAATTTAAAGCTGTATAACACAAATAATAAAGCATATATCGACAGTGTATACATATGTTCTGCTCTCTGCATTATCCTGACTGTAACAAAGTTGAATAGTGTGAAATCAAGCTTTGGACTTTAGTGTTGAGATCCAATTTTTATGCAGGCAACACAGAACGGACACCTGGGCATATCTTTTGATGTCATCTGGTATGAGCCGATGTCAAACTCCACGGCAGATGTCGAAGCGACGAAGAGGGCACAGGAATTCCAGCTAGGATGGTGAGGTTCATCAACACATTATTCTGCTCATAAATTCCCAATGCAAGACTTTCCTGAATCTAAGTTGTATACAGCAGTATCATGAAAATATATAATATAGCTCTTAAATTCGAACTTCTGTATGTTTATGGTGAAGTTATTTGCTAACAAGACTGATCTGAAATTGAAGGTTTGCGGACCCTTTCTTCTTTGGTGACTACCCGGAGATAATGAGATCGAGGGTCGGAAACAGGCTGCCCAAGTTCACAGCTGAAGAGGCTGCTCTTGTGAAGGGGTCGCTAGACTTCATGGGGATTAATCACTACACCACGTTCTACACGCAGGATGACGAGTCCACTGTCGTTGGGACACTGCTGAATAATACCTTGGCAGACACAGGAACTATTAGCCTCCGTAAGTTGGCATTATCTTTTCTTTTGTTCAGACAAGATAAAATTAAGAGTTGAAGAAACAAACAATTTATTTTTTGCCTCCCTCTGCTGAATGATTGCCTGAATGGTTCTTGCTGACATATTAATGCCTTTCACGTTTTTCAGCCTTCAGAAATGGGAAGCCAATCGGGGATAGGGTGAGTTCTGGCTTTCAGCAAATCTTTTGGAACTCAAAAGAATATTAGAAAACACGACAAGATATGAAAGCATTTCTCTCTCTCAAAGTGGCACTGAAGTATAAAGGAGACTGAGAATTCTAAGCTGCAGCACTGCTTTTCTTTCTCTGAACTCTACTGTACATGTGACCTGCAAATTCATACATTGTCTGTCCTCCATGCAGGCTAACTCGATATGGCTCTACATTGTACCTGGCAGCATGAGGAGCCTAATGAACTATGTCAAGCACAGATACAACACTCCACCGGTGTACATTACAGAAAATGGCAAGTACAGAGACAGATAAACTTGTTGTCGCTTCAGATATTTTGCCTTGTAATCTCATTAACATTTGCGCCATTAGCATTTCTAACACTCATTACTACAGAGAAACAAGAAACTAATGAAACCCCTGTTGATTTAGGAATGGACGATAGCAACAGTCCCTTCATTTCCCTGGAGAACGCACTCAAGGATGCCAAGAGGATAAAGTACCACAATGACTACCTGACAAACCTAGCTGCCTCCATCAGGTACTACTCATTTATCTTAAACAGTCACCAGATCAATACAAAAGCAAGGGCGGAATGCAACCCAAGTTATGAAAAAAAAAAGATCTGCTCATTCAGTGCTCACCACTGACAATGCAGGGAGGATGGCTGCGATGTTAGAGGGTATTTTGTGTGGTCTCTTCTGGACAACTGGGAGTGGACCGCTGGATACACCTCGAGATTCGGGTTGTACTTTGTGGACTACAACAACAATCTCAAGAGATACCCAAAGAACTCAGTGCTGTGGTTCAAGAACCTGCTGGCCTCTTCTTGATGGAAGTTTGGTTGCCCATTTAGAGGTCCACATGGTATGCTCCTTCAGATCCTGTAAGCAGTATTTTCTAGCGATTTGTCCTATCCCCTGTATATGCATTGGTTGTATAGTGATTCTGTGCAATAATTGATTGAAGGTTCAAAGTTTATCGATAAACATAAGCATTTCTGGGTGCAATGAACTGTCGGCACTAATCAAGGTGTACTGTAACCGGTGCAATTTGTGGCATTAGCCCATCTCCAAAACCATACCTTGCAGCTTTATAAACCGGATTCTCTGGTCTTCCAGGATGGCGTACTGGTACTACCAATTTTTGCTGTCTCACCAAATCGACACAAAAAATTGAGAGAGAAAGAAAAAGAAACTTTTGCCTCTGAAATAATGTGCCAAAGAATCCTCTAAAATCATATGCCTCACTAACCAACAACTGAAAGTGGGTGAGAAAATGCGTAGCACATTGACACACTAACGCGAGCCCACTGTGGCGCCTCCGGATCGCGGCGGCAACGGCGGGCACTCCGGGCGCGGCGGCCGCGGCAGTGTCGTCCACACCTCAGCTCGGCAGAGCGGGCACGTCCCGCGCGCCCTGAGCCAGCCGTCGACGCCGCACTCCGCGTGGAAGAAGTGGCCGCACGCCGAGACCACCCGCACGAGCTCGCCCCCCGCCTTGCTGTTGCTGCTGGCGAACTCCGACAGGCAGAGCGCGCAGCGCGGGGCCTCCTCCTCGTCCGCAGACGCGCTCCCGCCGCTCTTCACGGTCCCAGCCGCCCGCGCCTGCTCGTACGTCACAAGCGTCGCGTCCCCGAGCGCGCGCTCGACGTCGTGCACCGCGGCTGCGCCGCCGCCGCCGCCTGGACGACGGCCCGGTGGTTGTCCGCCGCAGGCGCCCGCGGACGCCGCGACGACGATGGCCACGATGAGCACCGCAAGGACCACCGCCGCGGCCACCGCGATCGCGGAGGCGGCGTCGAGGCTCATGCTCGCAGAACGCGAGGGACCGCACGACGCGTGCTGGCTTTCTTGGTACGCTCGGCGTTCTTGCTGCTGCTGCTGCAGTGCTGGTAGTATATAGCTAGCTCACAAGGGAGAGAACAAGAGAGAGAGAGCGATGGGTGGTGTTGTTCCTCGAAAGTTTCAGAAAACTTCTCCTTTAATTTTCTTGCGGCGCGCAATTGTATTTACGTCAAAACTCGGGTAATTCGGAGAGGGCCTTTCCATCGCCGCGCCTTTTTCCTTTTGATTCTTCACCTCCACACGGCAGTGCCGGCTGCAGTGCAACAGGGCTAGAAAGAAAGCCTTCTTTCCCATTTGGTTTCTTCTCTAGAACGCGCTGCACCTGCCGGCGTTTTGTGCGGTCGTTTGACTCCTGCCTACTTCGCCGCTAAACCTTGGGAAATTCCGTGCTGTCCGTGTCCGAATCCACCGTGTTTCATTCAAATGCGACCGCCCCTGCCCCCTGGACATGTACGGAGGTCGGCTGTGGAGCCTGACGAAACTGACCAAAGCAAAGGGCAAGTTCGACTATTCGAGTGGAGTAGCCAGCGTTCATTGTGTGATGAGTGATGACTGATGAGTCCGTTCCGTCGGACATCTTCCAGGCGATCTTGCGAGTGAACTGCACCGTACTTTCCTCGAGAAAACGGGGATCAATCAGAAATTCAGAAATGGAACGACCTGGTCCAGGGCCCTTGGTTTCTTGGGCTGCATCTCCAGCGACAACGACGGCTACAGCCCACAGCCGCAGCTTGCACGGGACAGTCAGTGTCACTGTGTCAGAGTCACTGAGAATAGCATACAGAATAAACCGCAGGAAATCACTGGCACGGAACGTTGGCACTTGGCAGCAGCAGAGGTTGTCAATTGCCAGTAACCGCTCCAAAGCAACGTAACTGCAGTTCCCTTTTACTTGGTGCCCCAACAAACGAACAGCGGTTTCCTTCTCTTGTCTTCTCCTTCGTTGCGCGTATTCATTCGTTGGCCATCGCAGTCGCACCCAACAGCGGTGGGCATCAATCCAGGATGGGGACGCTCGGCGCAGCGGCCATGGCCACGCTCCTGACCGCCGTCCTTCTCACCGTCCACGTGCCGCCGCCCGCGGTCGCGACAGACCACGTTGTCGGGGGCTCGATGTGGTCCATCCCGCTGCGCGACGACATGTACCTCGCCTGGTCGTACAACACGACGTTCTACGCCGGCGACAAGCCGACAACCTCGGTGAGCCCTCCGGATTCTCTTGCATTGCCTGCCGTCTGCCGGTGATATGATGCAACAGCACCCTCCTGACTCCACCACATCCGCGTTCAGTTTTCAGGTTCCCGATAGGGTTCTACGACGTGGTGCAGGTGTCGAGGAGTACGAGGACTGCACCGCCAACGACCCCTACAACATCAACAACTTCCGCGTCCCACCGGCCGTCGTCCCGCTCGACTACAAAAGTATGCGCTACTACGTATGCAGCGTCGGCAACTACTGCAAACTTGGCATGAAGTTCCGTGTCACGATCCAACCACGCTAGCCTGCTCACCATTTCTTCTTCAATTCATCCGCAAATTGTTTCTCAACAGTCAACATTACCTTATGATCTGTAAGTTTCAGGCATCATCAATCAGACAATTCCAATATTGTTGATTGGCATACGATTATGCGTTACATAAAAAGAAAAAATTGTGCCGATGTGCAACGGCGATGTCAATCAGACAGCAATGGAACAGACATTGCGCCCATACGTGCGTTATACAGTAGCACTCTACAAACATTAAGTCCACCTATATATTGATGAAACCATGACTCTAGCAAATCTCACAAACAAAAGTTAAAATGTATGCCTGGGTAGCATTTTTTCAGTTGCAGCAAAAAGGATACATTCCCTGGTTGCAGGGGTAGAATCAGCTTCCTATTTCGCATCTCAGCGACAACAAAACCAGAGACCACTCTCGCACTTGAAGGGCAACCCTGCCAATTGCCTTGATGAATAGTCTGCTTACTGTTGCGCACACTGCACTCTTTGGGCTCCGCCTGGCATCTCGTCATCCTCCTCGTACGCCTCCTGGGCAGCATGAGCTTGCTTCCTGCGCATCTCTTCCTCGATGTTGTTCACGTCAAACATAGTTGTCTCCTCGCATTCATCTATCTCCATGTCGGTCAGCTTGGATGAAGACCTTGGTGGAAGTACTGCCTCGAGAGCCTTGCACTGGTCTGGTGCCAGCGAGTCAGGGAACTCCACCGTGAAATGAATGTAGAGCTTCCCCTTCATGAAAGGCCTCTGGTAAATTGGCATCCCCTCATCGTTTATCGCCTTGAATTGATCTGCTCAAATTAACAAACAAGGATCAGAAACAGATACAGCTGCAGAAGCACAAAGTGACAACTGAGGTCTACAAGAGAAAGGGCTTACCAGGTTTAACAACTTCACCAGGGTTTAATTTGATGAGAAGCTGCCTGTTGTCCAGATGTGTAAGCACAAATTGGAACCCACAGAGAGCTTCGGTCAGAGACAAGGTGTGCTCATAAAAGAGATCTTCACCCTTTCTTTTGAACTTGGAGTGATCCTTCTGCTGGAGGACAAATACAATGTCTCCAGTGACGGTATCAGGCTGCAAGTAACATAACATATCAGTATAAATTTTGAAATCATAAAAAAGCAACCTCTACATCTTATCCCACTGATGCTTGAGCAAGCATACCGCTTCATCAGCTTCACCAGGGAAGGTGATCTTCTGGTTGTGTTGCATCCCCTTCTCAACATGAACCTCAAGAACCTTCTTCTCTTGAACAACCTTCTCACCCTTGCACCCTGGGCAGCGATCCTTCTCATTGATGCTCTCTCCAGTCCCCTTGCACTCGTTGCAAGGCTGCTGCATCTGCTGTATCATGGAAGGCCCCAGCTGGCGGATTGTGACTTTCATGCCTGAGCCCTGGCAACCAGGGCACCTCATTGAGGCACCAGACTTCGAGCCCTTGCTGGAAGGAAAAAAAAAACACATTCAACCAAAGGTTTTGGAAAAATGATTCGAATAATTGGGAGGGACAAACAGAACTAACCCCTTGCACTTGGAGCAGATGACATTGCGCGAAAGAGAGAGCTTCTTTGAGGTGCCATTGTAAAGATCTTCCAGAGAAACTTTAAGTGGGTGGACTACATCTTCTCCCCTCCTTTGCCTTCTTCCCCTGCTGCTTCCACCACCTCCTGTGAAAAAAACATATAAAAACCAATTATCACATTGATAGAAGGAGCATAACAAAAAAAATAGTCACAGATGAATATGGGTACCACCAGACAATACCTCCAAAAGAGGGTCCAAAGAATGATGAGAAGATGTCAAATGGATCAACATGGGCTCCTCCTCCGCCCATTCCTTCCTTAAGGGCATCTTCACCATACTGATCATAAATCTCACGCTTCTCTGGGTCGCTCAAAACCTCATAGGCTTGTGCGAGCTCCTTGAACTGAAATAAATTAAAATAAAGCTTTTACTCTACAAATCATGGATCAAAACAGGAATTTAGCAGACAAACTGAATCAGTAAAGGAAGGGAACACATATTTTTACATTTGTCACTTCTATATAATTTTTTACTAAACAAAATTATCATTGTATAAACCAGCACCATGATATACAAAGTATCAGCAAGCAAGTGGACAAATCATATAGCATGCAAAAAATATTACTGGCACAAATAATGTTATGGAAACACATATGTAACAGCTGTAAAACGCAAAAAGTTTTAATATACAACAAAAAAAAAAGTAATGCCAATGATCTCCAGGTGATTATACCAAACAGGCAAACCTTGTAATCTTTACAAGGTAAGAAATCACAAAAATAACGTTATGGAAATGCATATGTAACAGCTGTAAAACGCAAAAAGTTTTAATATACAACACAAAAAAATGCTAATAATCTCCAGGTGATTATACCAAACAGGCAAACCATGTAAGCTTTACAAGATAAGAAATCACACAAATAATGTTATGCAAATGCATATGTAACAGCTGTAAAACGCAAAAAGTTTTAATATACAACACAAAAAATCTAAGCCAATGATCTCTAGGTGATTATACAAAATAGGCAAACTTTGTAACCTTAACAATATAAGAAATCACATAGGCTACATAACAGACAAATAAAGCACAGGCACATCCAAAAGGGCAATCAAAACATTCATTGGACAACAAACCAGCTGGACCACTGCATACTATTATCTGCCATTCCATGTGACATCAACGTCTGCAAAGATTTCAACCATGGCTGCTAGGGCAAGGATAACCTCCCTACATGAAACTATCAACAGGGGATTCAGCCATGTCTCGTCCCACATGATAAAGTAGGATACAGAAAATGTTACACCACTGTCATCAGCTAACAGTTGAGTGAACTTATTTTCCAAGACATTACACATTGTATCCGAGGGTAAAGTAAACAGATATTGAACATCTTCTGGATGACCACAGATACCGCATTGATACATCCAGGTGATGAGAAGGATAAGCTTCCCATGACAATATAACACCACCAGAGTAACAAAGCACGGGAGAAATGCATTATAACTACCATGCATCTTGGTTACTATGTAACCCTATAGCTCTTGACAGATAGGCCCCCCCAACTGAGGGGGTGTTTGGTTGCCCCTCCTAAATTTTAGTCGTTGTCCCATCAGATGTTTGGACACATGCATGGAGTATTAAATATAGACTAATTACGAAACTAATTGCATAGTTTGCGACTAATTTGCGAGACGAATCTTTTAAGCCTAATTAGTCCATGATTTGACAATGGTTTGCTACAGTAAACATGTGCTGATGACGGATTAATTAGGCTTAAAAAATTCGTCTCGTGGAGTACAGATGGATTATGTAATTTATTTTTTTATTAGTATCCGAACACCCCATGCAACATTCTCTCGACACACCTCCTAAATTTTAGTAGCCGGATCCAACCCCCCCTGAACAATGCAGGCACTGCTCAAAAAACCCCGATGGAAGTACCAGCTACAAATGTTTGCAACTGAACCAGCTGCGGAGCTTCCTGTCATCTAAAAGAAAAGACTAGCCAATATACATGCGCGAAGTGAATCATAACACATGACCACGAGAACCGCACATGGCATGCAAGCTAAAAAGCTGTTTTCTTTCACCTGCATAGGATTCTGAGCACAGCAAGCACATGGAGATGGTTCTCGCCAATCCCCAAAAAAAATAAGGTCGCAATCACGGTACACAACATGACCGCGGATCACCCACCGCAAACCTAGCGCATGCAACACGAACTACCAATTGCACCTGAACCAGCTATAGAAGCATCAACGAATCTACCAAACGATCACATCGTGGAAACAGGACTGAGGAACCTCGAACCTAAACATCATCAAGACCAACACGCAACCCTTAGTAAAGGCTAATCTACCAAACGCAAAGGCTGCCCTAGTGCCCTGAATCTCGATCTACCGCAACGGATCACGCACGCCAGATCGGATCAAGGCCAGATCGCAAGAGGGGAGAGGGGAGAGGGGATGGTCCGGACCTTCTCGGGGTCGCCGCCCTTATCGGGGTGGTTCTTGATAGCGGCCTTGCGGTAGGCCTTCTTGAGGTCGTCCTGGGACGCCGACTTGGGCACCCCGAGGATCTCGTAGTACTTGGTGTTGTCGCTCTTCTTCGGCGCGCGCCCGAACATCTTGCCTTTGCAGCCGCCGCCGCGGGTGCCGCTCGCCGATGTGGGGTACGGCCTCGCCGCCGCCGCCGCCGCCGCTCCTGCGGGGGAGTGGGGTGGGGAGGAGCAGGAGCGGAGGGGAGGGGAGGAGGCGGTCAAAGCTGGTGGCCGAGCGGAGTGGGAAGCGAGAGGGTTTGCACCGCCGATACGCGTTGGTTAATGTAGTCGGGTCTGTAGACGACCGCAAATACGTCAACGCCGCAGCGGACGCGTATTCTCGGTGCTGGGCTAGCAGAATGGGCCCGAATGGGTCAGGGCTCAGGGCCCGGGGCTTTCCCTTGCTTTACTGCACTTTCACTTTCACACACGTGCTTCGTGCTTGTGCAAATAATTGTGGTTTGGTTTCCATGTGGACGACAGGAGCCGGAGGAATAGAACGAGTTTGGTCGAATCAAATGTTCGGCGACCATAGCCGCAACCGCAATTAATCACAATCAGTCAGCTACAGGGCATAACAATTATAGGCCCTGCTCGTTTCGCTATAATTTGATTTATGCTAATGCTGATATTGATTTGTTGTGAGAGAAAAACACTGCTCCTTCGTTGAAAAGTACTGTTAAAGCAATGCTGAAAACAGGACGTGTGATTACATATTTCCAATAATAAGAAGACTATGTGTCGGTACAGAAAGTGACCAACTAGTGAATATTTGTAGTTTTGCTGTACGTTGTGATCGGAGGTGGCCTAGCACTCAATGACACAGGATTTATACTGGTTCGGGCAACGTGCCCTACGTCCAGTGCGGGTCTGTCGGCGACTTTATTCCTGAGCCCCTGTGCTCAAAGTCTGTAGTGGGGTTACAAACGAGAAGAAGAAAGGAGGGATATACGAGAGGCCCGATCGAGACCGACCGGAAGGGCCGAGGGCGACCGAAACTCCGCTATGAGCTAGGTATTCAAGCGTGTGCTTGAGGGGTTTCTCAGCTATCGATCTAGTGAGCCTGAGCTTGAAGAAGTAGTCCTTTGGAAAATCGATCTCCTTCGTTGGAGGGAACGCATCTCCTTTTATAGATAAAAGGGATGGCTTTACAGGTGAGAGGGAGAGAGTACGGATGTTTCTAAGTCTTATTGCCCATGCCGAGTGAGGGTAATGATGATGGTTGGCACGCATAATACTCTTGATGTCACCACGTAGAGCGTCAGTTTCGTGCACATGGGGGTTGCGTTGGCTTCTTGCGGGAAGGGTGGACGCAATCGGTAGACATAAATGTCGAAATCAGTTAGTATATGAGGAGCCCCACCACGTGTACTAGGTATGAGTGAATTCACAGTGCCCACTATCGATCCCTGCAGACTGAGGCATGTGGAGGGCCTTTTTGCCGTATATGGAGCCCCAGCAGCCCGGTCGGATACAATCAGAGACATAAATGTCGGCGCCTTCACAATCTGTAAGACACAAATGTTGGAACCTCCCATAAGCTTTTCGATGCTTGTGTTAGGTCGGTTGTGAAGTTGTCGAGTTTTCACTTCTCACGCCCATGAGCTATAGGCTCGTTCTCCGGGCCGAGCCCGGGCGGTATGGTCCCCGACAGCCCCCCCGAGCCCCGGTGATTTTTTTGTTGTCTTTGTCTTTGTGCTGCTTTCTCCGTTCGGATGCGGTCCCTTCCGAGAGTGAAGGGCGAATCCTCGAGGGGGTGAATAGTCTTTCTAAAATTAATGGCCCCAGCCCGATCGCGGAATTAAAACAATCGGTCTAGCCAAGACTATGCTAGTTCACTAGGAGAAGATACTAATAAAGCATCGGCTAGCTAGAGCTTCCTAAACAATTCTAGAGCCCCTCACACAAGATGCCACTAGTACTTTAAGGGGAGCTTACACATGAGTAAGCAAAAGCAAAAGCTAACTAAGCTCACTAGCAATGCTCAATAACAAGGCAACCAACGCCTTCTTAGAGAGCGCAAATACTTAGCTACTTCTATGCTACACAAGCAAGAAGGTAATTAGCTAGCTACACAAGCTATCTAATTACAAGAGCAACTACGCTTAAGATATATATATAAGTAATTGCAAGCTTGAGAATGGGGATGCAAGAAGTTGTCGGAAGCGGAGGTTGACACGTTCTTTCACGTGGACCAACCTTAGTCCCCGAAGACCGATCAGCTCACTTGTGTGTGTCCCCACCCTTAATTGTTTTTAGACCTTTTGGGTTCGCGCCCATTGAGGGTAGCTCAATGACACTCTTTTACTGGTTGGCTTCACGATTTCCACAATGCCCCTCACAAGCACACAATGCGCCTCACAAGCACTTCTCGGCCGCGCTTCTTGCGCTTGACGGAGACCACCACCAAGCCGCTAGGAGGTGGCAACCTCCAAGAGTAACAAGCACCACCGCCAAGCGTCGATCACCTAGTGCCACTCGACCCCGGGTTATGAATCGCCACTCACAGTGTGTGATGGAGGCCCCCTCACAAGCATGGACACTAAGTCCCTTGAGGTGCTCAAGATCACCATGGCCGAGGGCCACTTCTATTTATAGCCCCAAGGGCTAAACTAGCCGCTACCCTTCAGCGGTCGGACGAATCGCGATCGACCGGACGAGGATTTTGTCTCAAGTTCAACGGTCATTTCCGGAGCGGTCATCTGCGACGCGACGGCACTTCAACCGACCGGACGCAGAACCCCCAGGCGTCTCGCTGCTTCTTCAGCTGACCGGACGCCACGTCCGTCGAGCGATCGACTCGAGCCCAGGCCGGTCCACTCTCCGTCGCTTCGCAAAAACCGTCGGGCGGTTTTCGCGACCAACTTTCGTGCTAACCACTAAGAATTTGGATCCGGCGCAATAGAAAATAGGCATTCTATTTTCCCGAAAGCGATGGCAAGAATTTCGCAAGAGAAGCTTCGGAGTAGGGAGAAAGGACCTCAAACCCATCCCCCCTGTGCACCACCTCCTTTGTAAATGTGCCAACACCACCAAGAACCGATGTGTATGTGTGTTAGCATTTCTTCAGCGTTAGCCACTCAACTTGCCACGCGTGTGTGTATGCAAAGTTAGTTTTGAGATGTTTTGTTTGATCAAGGTGTCGCTATCCTAAACCCGGGCGTTTTCTAGGTGCGGCCCTAGGTTTGAGGCAAATCTTTCACGATCTCGATGTAACACATGTCGGTGCGTGCTGCAATGATATGATCCACTCGGGTGACATGAAGGTTAGTTTGACTTGGCTCTTCACCATTGCATCGGTCCATCGGCGCCAAGTCTTGCTTCACTTTCACCGCCACGCGGTGATCACTCAAAAGGACTTGCCCTTCACGCTTGTGTCGCCAAGTCTTTCTTGATCTTAGGCGATCGATGACTCAATGCTCATTGATGTGCGGGCTCCTTCATCATCACATGTTAGTTTTGCAACAGTTCATTTTTACTTCCATGGCATATGTTGCTCACACATGTACCGTGGACTAATCACCGTGTATCTCACATAAACACAATTAGGACCTAGGTTGTCACTCAATTACCAAAACCAACAAGGACCTTTCGCGAGCCCCTGTTGGTTTAGGAGTCGCGTCCCGTGTTTTTAGTTGAGCGTTTTGTTTGAAAGCCGTCGCGTGATTAGGTGCGAAGGCAAATCTTAAAGATCGCGGTCCCGTGCTTAGGGCCGATCTTATGTCAAAGATCCAAGCTCGGACCCCGAAAGAAGACGGAGTCGCGTCCCAGTGTTTTGTTGGAGCGTCTCGAATTCGGAAGTCGCGGTCCCAAGATTTTTTTGGAGCGCAGCGATGAAGCCGCCCAAGATTTTTTTTTGAGCGCAGTGAAGCCGCCCGTCGAAGCGTAGTAGTTAGTTGGTTAAAGATCGGACGAGGCGATGCTCGCGGACCCTGGCGTCGGTGCGCGCCGTGGGATCGGGCGTGTTGGAGTCGTGGATCTGGCGAGTTCGAGGTCGCCGTCCTTTGGCGTTTATCTTGAGCCCCCGAGCCCTATCGGGCGTTCGTGGGGGTCGATGTGAGTATTGTGCGTTACCCCATCCTCGGTTCCTCACGACCGGAGGGGCTGAGTTTCGTCGCCTGTCCCGATCGCTCAGGCTCGAAGACTAGCTCGGTGAGTTCGCTAACGGGTGTGATCGAGTGGAATCCGGGTCCGTCGTTCGTGATGGGGTCGGCATAGCCCTCTTGTGACATTCTACTACTCCTTTACCTGCAACCCGACAGATGCCTAGGTCGTTCCAGAGACCGACCCGGGTGGCCTAACGGCCTCCCCTTCGATGAAGATTCTGTGGGCCTAGTGAGAGGTTCAGGATCGAACGAGAAGGTTGAGATGACCCAGTCTGCCGGACCGGGCGAGGGCCGCACGGTGCTCATCTACGGTTTTCTCCCCTAGCTCTGTTGGTTGCCCATATCGAATGAGGCAACCCCGCTTCGTGACGCAACACGGAGCGTTCTGATGCATTTCGCTGCACGTGCGATGCTTTAGTTCCCGAGCCCCCGGGCGGTTCATGCCCTAACCGTCCAGGGGGTTCAGGCGTATGGAATGAATACGTGTATGGATGTATGAATGCTTTTAAAGAAATAGAGGGAGTTTTGATAGTATTTACCTCGGTGACTGGAGTGACGGGGCTCGAAGACCTTCAGTCGGAGACATCCGACCGGGACCCGTGCTCGTCGCTCGGGACGGAGTCGGCATGGCCCGTATGGGGCATCCCTTAGCTTCCTACTTGTGTCCTGGTGTGGATACTGAGCGACTCGATCGACCTAGGGGGGCGGTCGGTCTTCCGGCGGAGATTTTTTTTTAGGTTTCGCCTGGCCTGGGGGAGGCGGGAAGCCGCCCGCGTGCGGTGGCGCTTCGGTTTTTGTGCCCTGTCGTGCGATAGTGGTGGGGCATACCCCCGCCATGCTTCGCCCTGCCCGGTGGCATTCCGTCTGACCCGGCGTTACTCCGTCGGTCAGTGCGCGTCCCATCGTTTCCCATTTGTATGGGGGTAGACGGAGAGTTTCGTGCTCGCTTACCTTTTTCCTTTAAATAGGGGGAGGGAGAGG